AGTTCCCTTCACTTTTCAGTGGCATTTCTGGTTGTAATATTCTGCCAGTAATAGCCGTTTTTCTAATGAACTGTGAGTCATTTTCCACTTCTGAACGGAATGTGTTCCGAGAGCGATCGTCAGCCATGATAGCGCCATGCACCACAGTGCGATATTCATCTTTCAAGGGGAAAAACCCCACATTCGCCCCGATACTGCTTTTGTGCTATTCTATTATATTTTTATTCTGTTGTCATTCTAAACCGCTTTTTCGAGCTAATGTTCCCTTCAGAAGGAGCTACTGAAGGCGACAGACACTGAACGGTAGACAATAAACTACCACTACATTCATGTTCCCACCCTCCCCAGAGAAACTGTTACAAATGGGTTGGAGCAATCGGTCGCACACCAACAGATCCACCACACGAATCTTTCTATCGTTGCTATAGAATATATTTATTTGTTTAGTTACTATTGTTTGTCACTGTTTAGTATGAAGGATAAAATAATCTGAGTATACAGGACGGAGGTGGTGTGGTAGCAAGTGGCGCACTACCACACACGCACTGTCACGGTTTCGAATCCCCGATCGATATCCGCCTAAGCCAACCAGCTTTCCATCCCTCCGGGGTCGGTTAATTGGTAACAGACTGGTCTGGGAGTACAAAAGTACTGACTTGTACATCGGATGGCCACCGCAAGTCATTGTATAGGCCACATACGCCTCTACGATTCTGAATGAAAGTCGAATGCGGGGCGCATCACTCGGGAGGGATCGATAAACGCCCCAAGATATTATCCTTCTATACATTATCGATCTACTTGAAGAAATACTCATTCTGATTGATGATTCCAATTCACACTTACTTTAAGGCCTGATTCAACTTACTGTAGAGGCCTCACCCTATTATACCCTATAATATACACCGAAATTCTGTTAGTAATAACGGACCAACTAGGTAAGTGTAGAAATGCGGGCCAATATTAATGCTCAAGCTGTGATCCATTGAGTTCTTTTCTTTGGGAGTACTGAAATTGCAACGGAACATGTGCAGCATAAGCACCTCATAACTCTCTCCTTTAACTATCCCTACAACAGCTCCTGGAAGTTGAACTGTATGCCAAGGGCAAATCGAGTCTATGGAAATGTTCCATGCACTAGATTGCCACTGAAAACAATGTCTTCCAACTGATTCCGTTCTCTTATCAAGTAATCTGAAACCGGCCTCGTCCGGCTACTGGCGCATTGATCAGAGGAGCAAGGCCTGACTGTACAGGCAGGGCAGAATTCGATCCCAAGTGCATTACGGGTACACGAGCCAGCAGAGCGCATTCCTTTGGGCGATAAGCGAATGCCACTGCTTCATGGGTTTTGCCCTTCAGAAGCTGCATTTTCTTCTTTTTTTTTCGAATCTTCCCGATCAACAGTAGAGGAGCGGGGCAGGCAAGTATGCAACGGCTGTGGCACTGAGCAGCAGCGTGGAGTGGTGATCCATCACGAACAGAACAATCGATTCCCTAGGAACGTCATCGGCGACACGTCGGCGTTCATTTCCACCTCCTGATTCACTTTCATCATCATCATTATGACAGCTGTCCTCTGGGCAATATGTATGTCATGTATTCCCCCTGACTACACTGAGGATATGTCGGTCATTTTTTGGCTCGAAAAAAATCGTCCACAAGGTCTTGCGGTTACAAATAGAGCTTGTAGCCATCCATATGTTCCGTTAGGCCAAATAATCTTACAGTATCCTAGCCACATATGCGTGGCATTCAATCGATGAACACAGCTTTCACTTGATGTTCTCATAATACCGGCAATATAAAGTGACATTCAAACCACATTCAGGCCCATTTCTGCCCTGTCCTATTGCCGTCGCTTTTACAACCGCTGTGGCTCCACTTCGAGCATGACATGGACACTGACGGTGGCATACATCTTTCCCTTTCTTTGATGCGTACAGGAAGTTTTCAAATCTTTCCGTTCACATCTGTTCCCCGTCTCTTGGCCGTCGAGTAATGTTTGATGCTTCATCTCTCATGTTCCTCCCTCATCAATACTTCTTATTCTCCTCATCGACTCGTGCTAATGATGTTGTCACTATTGATGGTACTTCATTGTTTCTCAACGAGTTTCTCCTATGAACTGGTATTACTGTACGATTACTGTACGACAGACACATGCAGGGAACCAATGATTCCAGCAATTGATTCGTTATGGCTGAGTAGTATCTCATTCTGGCTTGTCCTGGGGCTGTCGATTGTTGGTGACTAGGCTGTTTGTCAGCTTTCACCCCATCAGGGCTTAAACTCTGGGTGAATTCGTACTCGTGCCAGAGCATTGAGGCATAACATCCTAGGCTCGCGAGCTCTCAGCTTTGTTCACAACTCATCACCCTTGTGATCACCTCCATACCGTGCACGGATGGACGGCATCATCAGAGCTACATATTTCCCTCAACGTGCGTAGCATACAAGCGAAAATGCCCGTTTTTGGCATAATTTTTGGATCGGTCGGTTGCGGCTTTTCGAAATGAACTTACCCTTCGAAGCATAACCTATCATTTTGCGGATTTCGTCAGCGCCAGGGTATATAATAACTTTTTATCGAAAAGAGCCCTCCACCTTAACAGTCGAACAGAAAGGCCAGAATTCAACGGTGGCAGCTTTACCTCCTACTTTCAGTCGCTTTTGAGATCTCTTTTATCAAGGCGACTGCCTTTTTGAAGGATGGGGTCGTATGTGGGCCTTTCAGGTACTTCGTTGCACACGTTTCCTGACTCTAATTTCCCTTCATAGTACCTTTCTGTGGTTTCCTTGAATCAGACTCTATCGGTCTTAAGCGAAAGATTAGAATGTTCCTGTATTGTTACTGCTACACTGTACGCCTTTGTTTTAGGAAAACTGTAACAATCTCTTCCATTGTTACCCTTCCGAAACCTTTTCCGTTTCCATCTATGAGTACCGTGACTACTGCTACATTCATAACTATTGTTTCACAACTTCTACAGTGCTTTCTATGAAAAGTGTCCGCTTGTGAATCATTTCACTACAGCCATGCTTACTACTACAAATAAGACGACTTTCTTTGTTCACGTAACAATCGTCCTTCTCTAGAGCTCCAACCCCTCTCGAGAGAGCTCCAACAATCGAAGTTACCACTACCAATTGGTCGTTTACGTAGTTTTTCGACTGAAAAAATTACTAGAGAATAGGTTTCTATTTGAATACGCTGCGCACTTGACCTCCAGTTGAAATCACGAGAAGTTACAATGCTTAGTTGCTACTAGTTTGATTAGTTGATTGGATGTCTTTCACTCCGATTGCTTTGTAAAATCGTCCGATGTTCAAATCGATGTTGAACTAGGATCTCTTAGCTTCACCTGCAGAGCCCATGCGATCCGATGTCGATCGGATAGCGAGCCGAGCAAACCCTGCATAACCCCGTAGGGTTCGCTTGGCTCGCCAACCGACCGCAAGGGCTTTGTGGGTGGAAAAGGAGGGAAGAAGTCACTAAAAATATTTCTATGTTTACTATTTACTGTTAATACCCTGAAGTTATTGTTGTTCATTTGGTTACGATAACACTGTTATACTTACAGGTCTACATCTTGAAAAAGTAAGTTCAAGGAAAGAAATAGCAATCAGCTGAATCGGGTTGCCGCTTCTGAAACTATTGGGCACCGATAAGATAACGGAGAAGCTCCAGGGGCAAAAAGTAGTGATGGAATCCTATGACGGGGCCTAAAATTAGAAACGAGAAAATTGAGCCGCCCTTTGGTGTGATATCATCAATTTAACCAGTTTTTATCCCCCTCATTGCTACTTATCTCGTCGATTCGCTTCGCTCCATCATCAAGCACATTCATTAGCTCTTAGTCATGATGGGGCTTTTTCCTTTGATTGCCTTATCGCTTTCGAAATCTTGCCTTGATTGACGTATATTAGGATGGTTAGATCATCGCAAATGTTTTTTTTTTCGGTCTTGTATTCGTAGAACGATTGGACAGACGATATTATCGCGATGGCCTAGTAGATCCATTCGAACTGCTTTCTAATCTTCCCATTCCGTTTATAAATTGTAAGAGCTGTTGTTAAATTAAATTCGAAGGATACAGAAGACAAAAAGGTCCATAGAGATTGTATTTAAAGCGCGCCACACACTCGATTTCCAATTGGAATCGTAGAAGCATTTGAATGGGTGCTTAACTTTAGCACTAGGATGCAAAGTCACTCAGCCTCGGAGAAGAGCTTTGCTTCCTCCCAGACGAAATTGATACCGATTCCCGTGCTTATGGATAACAACTTGCTTCCGAAAGTCAGTTGTGCATAGCACTATTCCACGAGTTGATCATCGCTTTCACGAGAACCTCCCTTTTCTTCCTGAAATACCCCTGCAGGACGAAAGTGGAGTCTGTAAGCAGAAAAGACTAGCTTGTCATCCTGGATTCACGATCATTTCCTCTTATTCTTTTGAAAGAGATACTTTGAGATCCACAACCATCACCTGATGACTGCGAAACTGCTCTCAAACTTCCTTTCTGANAACTGACGATGAGTGTATGTCGGTCATTTTTTGGCTCGAAAAAAATCGTCCACNCGAAAGTCAGTTGTGCATAGCACTATTCCACAAATTGATCATCGCTTTAACGAAAACCTCCCTTTTCTTCCTGAAATACCCCTGCAGGACGAAAGTGGAGTCTGTAAGCAGAAAAGACTAGCTTGTCATCCTGGATTCACGATCATTTCCTCTTATTCTTTTGAAAGAGATACTTTGAGATCCACAACCATCACCTGATGACTGCGAAACTGCTCTCAAACTTCCTTTCTGAACGAGCCACTTTCATTTTCTTCAGACTGAAGTTCTCGTTAATTTCCTCAGTTGATGCATACCTATGAGATTTGCAGACTTTTGTGGGAATCATTCCCTTTTCCTTCTTAAACTTCCTTTCGTAACCGTTTCCCCGAGCTGATTTTGTTTTGGTAGTGAAGAATCGATAACATTACAATTTCAGGTAATGGACGTGTCTGCCCCAGTGAGGCCGCCCTCGTGAGTCCGCACTCCTACGGAGTTGTTTTGCTATCTAAATTAGAGTTCATTCATACAAAACAAGAGTACTTGTTATTTCTAAAAAGCAAACTATGGTGGTAATGTTGGCCATTGCCGCGCGCGTTTGCGTTGCGGCTTTGTAGGGCTATAGCTATTTTATGTAATATAAATGTAGCAGGAATTCTTTAGCTTTTAGTTCTAAACTAATTTCTAGCAGCTCGCGCCCTACGCAAGCCTATTACGTGCCGCGTCGTCTACTGGAGGGCGGTCGCGGTCCGTATCCGGCGAACGATGGAAAACCCTCTCAAGATGGTTTCACCAACCCGGATACCCCGCCGCCAAACACGACCAAGTCACGGCCAAACACTGAGGTAATCACTTGATAGGATCGCTGACACTCGTTGTCTCGTCGGTCCAACCCCCATTCCTCTCGTCGTCTTTGGAAAAAAACCGTTTGATGATTCTGTCCACATAGGTGCGTACACCGTCGAGCAAAACCGTCGTCAAAACATACATCGAACCGCGTCCATTGATGGCCGATCTGCTACCAAAGCCCGATTCTCTCAAGGTTAGAAGGTTTCAGCTTCTCTATTACACTGGATTCTCATGTACCATTCATAGGAGAAACGTCGTGCGCCTCGCTACACTCCACCACAGCCGCAGAGCTCTTTGATAGCTCCGTCTTCACAGCGAAGAGGTCCTGCTGCTCCACCGCAACCGTTCGCTCCACGAATTGTTAACGGTCCACGCGGTCCGCTTTCACGTCCCAACGCTTTCTGTGCAGTACCTTTCCCACAGAAAGATATCTGCATTTGTGATCGTCCTAAAACTCATGTTGTATGCAAACGGTAGGTCTTATTATAGCTGTTTTATTATACTCCGTTACAAGAGAAGTGTCACAAATGGGACGCGAGCGGTTGCGACGCGTCATCGGATCAGTGCGCGCTTACGAAAATTCTCTTTCCCTTTTGTATTTAACTTTATCCTAGACGTGAACTTTTGTGCACACAAAACCCGTACTGAATTCACATTTTGTCTTAATGGCACAGGTCACGGAAATTTTGGGTTATCTAGCTTTAGACGAGCAATGGAAAATATAGTTGAGAACAGTGCAAAAGCGGCGAAGAAATTGAGAAAATCTGCATATTTAGAGATATATAAGGCTTGAAAATGAGTAATATTAGGGGTTGGACGAGAAGGTTACGGAAAAACCGTATGGAAGAGGTATTTGGACGAGCTGTTTGAATGCGCGCACCATTTCATACAGAAACGCTGCCTGCGGGCATGGTGTGGGTCCTGGTACGAATGATGCAACCTTTACAGCTTTTACAACGCTTGACAAATCGTCCGTCTTGGGGTGTGCAGGGGGGCTGAGAGGGCCCTTATTACGCCCTATAATGACTGTTTTTCGACCCGACAGCGTCCCTCGGGCTACCTTGGGGGTCACAGATTCATCCCCGGGAAAAATTTCCGACCATTTTTAACGTGAACTGTGCCTTTAACCTTAAATATGCAAATCTACCGGTAAATCTTTCAGATGTGGCTACGAATGTATTGGAAGAGTGCAGTTGGTGTGCGATGTGCATCCGACCATACTCTCGTTGATGGACATGCGAGAATGTGCTAATCCCATCTGTAGGAGTATACAGATATTTGAATCGTTTACACCAAACGACAACAATAACATTGATGATCAACTCATTACCGCCGTCACCACCAACAACACCACCCCAATTCTACAGTAATCATCCCCATTAATTTTCACCTATGCGCCATAGCACACGGGTAAATTCTACATGACATACACATACATTTCTGTCAACATATATTTACCGTATATAAATAAACGCAGCGCACGCACACACTCAACTCGCACAAATTTGCATTGTCGCTTTTATTATCGCCGAGACGAAGCACTCTCTTAGCGATCCTTTTCCTTTTTCTTTGAAATCCCTGATGGATCAGTTAATGAAAGGCGCAATTTGTGTGCTCTGAACTCTATGAGTTCATTTTGTAATGTTGTTTATTATTGTATTTTTGTGTGATGTGAAAAACCGTTAAATCGTTGAGCGATACGGTATGGGCTTCCTTCGTTTTTTCCGCTTTTTCGTTTGCATTTATTAGTNATTTTATACATATTTTAATCATTTTTTCTACTCGTCTGTGATTTATGTTCGCGACGCAAAGGACGCTCCTCAAATTCATTTTTTTCGGTTGAAAAATTTTGCCTTTAAATATTTCAGCGCTCATGATGATTGATGATTTTTGTACATAATTCATATTCAAGTCAAAGTTTTTATTAAAGATTACCTTATTGAAACTTAACACAACATATTACTGACAGCAGCTGCCATTAAATGTATGCATGGGAGTATAATGCAACAAACAAAGTTAGCACAACGAACAACACTCCATTATCCAATAAGATGCGCAACAAATACAAGAACGACGAGGAGAATCATACAGACCTATGAGACCTGAGCTCGAGGAATTTCAATAGCTCCCATCGAACGACTACGGCTTAGAACACATTGACAGCAAGATTTGGCTTTGATTTTCCATTACCTGTATGATCTCCTAAGTGGACTGCGGCTACGGCTTCTGAAAAATAACTCTGAACAGGTTTGTTTTGCAATTTTGTTTTGTGAGACACTACCATTGAAAACATTTGTAGCTCTATTAACTTATTCAGCTTACTCTACTAACTTTTCACAAGTTCATATTACAACTAGAACTGCGATAAATTCATCAACGATTGTGCGAAATCTTTTCCATACCTTGTTGGCATTACCACGGGATAAACTTCCTTATCCCACTACCGTCTTAGCACAATTCATCCGATTATTTCGGAACCAGCGAAAAATTCTGGCTCGATACTCTCAGTACGGTATTGTTAACACCACTTTGGGCACTTGTCCCACATATGAAAACAAAACGCTGTAAGCATATGGTACAGGACCAACCGAAAATTAGGAGCATTGAGATTGAGCATCAGGGAATAAAACGCTAATCTTACATGTAGTAAAATGGCTTATGCATTTGCCCCTAGTTCTTTTTAGGTATACTTCCAAAATTGCCGTTTTGAACTGCTAATCATCCTAACGAGCAACACTAACACTGGTACAGCCTATGTGCTATGTAAACACTCGCAAAGAACTATTACTCAGACAATACAATCCCTTCACCCTCCCTCCTCACCCCTCTACTTCACCTTATAGATCATCAAATATTTTCTTCCAAATAACATTTTAATACAATTAAGGCGAAAGACAGGGCGGTTGAGTTGCATGTTCTCTAGTTCCAAAAGGGAACAGTTCAGGGCCAAGAAATAACTTTGCCATTTATTTGACAATTTGAAGTAGCTGTTTCTTGGGAATATTTATCTCACCACGTTACAGTACGTTTTCTTGACCTTGAGATGCCCTAACCTTTTTTTACGAAGAAAATACTATCGAAATTACAAGCCGCTTAACTCTCTAGGAGATATGTGACTCACCTCCCGTAGTCCACTAATCCTCTAAAAGGTTGATCGGCGAAAGCAGGATATGACTGGCCAAACTGCAACAAAAGACAACTAGTAACACAGACCTGCGTAAAATGTATCAAGGACCACAGATTGAGAAATGACTCGATAAAAAAGAACCAACGAACCAGTGGAGTTGCTCCACTTCCACTTCCACTTCCACTCATTGCAGCACTTCCGCCTAATGTTGGATATGTAATACGTTCAGTGCGTGGCTGTGATGCGCGCATGCGAGAACTGAACTTTTGTAATTCAACAAGTAAACATCAACCAAATTTAGCAGAAGTAATAAAACGGCAGTGATATTGGAAAAAGTAGACATTGTTAAGAAAAATTGTCTGAAGAGCCTCAGTACAGATCCTAGCCGAATATAGGGGGACAAATAATGTTCTTTCAGGTACCTGTCACTGAAGTCGTTGAGCGGTTCGACATATCTGCTGATGTCCCGCAATGGGGTGGGATTGAGACCACCGATTGCACGAGGATCCCTTAAACACGATGATAACGTAACGCTTTTCGTTGTCTACTCTCTCTCTCACTCTCTGAAAAGTTCAAGGGCTTGGTTGACTCTTTGATAGGCGCAACATTTTCATGTTTCCTAGGCACACGGGTCTGAGATGAGAAGATTTACGTGGTACGATTATTTGTGTAGCTTTCCAATGACTCCCTGAATTTTTGTGCACAGACAGATCCAGGCAATGCGACTAATAAGGCTGCTTTCAAAGGTGGTCAAGCCTTCCAGTGTTGCGACCACTGACAGTCTGAACTGACAGTTCAGAGAGACACTTTAATCAGGAAAAATGCCACACTCATAAATGCCTTTCACAAGCTAATGGTAGGTGCTCATTCAAGCGTGGCTTGCGACTTGGCGAACATTTAGTGGACATGGTGCGACCACTACTTCCCTTGTCTGAACACCCGACGAGTTATGAGACATGCGGAAGCGACGGCAATGACTGGTGCTTCATTATCATACATGACTAAAGGTGACCGTTATCTCACATTATAGGCCAAGTTACAGAGTTGAAGATCATCTTGAGAAGGAGAATCCAGAATGATTCTGTACGTCATCTTGAAAATGAGAATCCAGAATGATACTAAGTTATTATGCTCTGCCTATTTTAACATAAAGGATATAGTCTTTGGTCGCTAGACAATCTTGTCTGATGAACGCGCCCCAACATTCGACATCAACCGAATGCGTGTGTGCCCCATACTATGAATTGCGGAGGTCAGCTGGTGTACAAATCAGTGCTTCTATCCTCTCGGAGTAGAGTTCGCTAGCGATCAACCGAACCCGGAAAAAAGAAAAGCTCGCTTGGTCTAGATTGATATCAAGCCGGGATTTGAAAGCGTGATCATGCATGTGGGATGGAGCACCACTTGCCACTACACCACCTCCCTCCTCTAGTTCGTCATATGAATGTAAAAACAGCCAAACATTCACTTAGCATATGCCTAATAACGCAATCGAGCTAACCTTGCGAAGGGTTCATCCATCAGAGATGGAATTCCACGCGGTGTGTTGTCGAAGCTCCCACGCGATGTGTTGTCGAAGCTTGAGAAAGCGGGAGCCTGAAAAATGCATAAATTCTTGAACTACTGATTTTTTTTCGGTTTATTTTTGAAATGAAATAGACAAGCAGGACCTATATTTCGGTCTTTCGCTACAGGAAGAGGGACAAGAACTCGGATTGTTAATGTATTCAATGACTAATTACCAACTACTTGAAAATAAGTTATAAACCTATTTGTTCTTCCTGAATTAAGATAGTCGCTGAAAAAAACCTATGTTCTGAGCAGATACCACATACCTTACGATCCACAGAGTTCAGTACCGCTCCCACAAATGAACCGAGACCCATTTTTTCGACCTGTCTGGGTGATTCAAAAGGCGGTGCGTTATCCTGTGCAGTCCTACGCATCACAGATTCGTATTTGAACATTTCACTAGAAAAGGAGAAAGAATGATTTATAATCGCACACTCTAATAATCCAACATCGCACTTAGGTTGAGTTATAGGCCTTGCCCATGGTGACACATCTGTGGCTCCTCTGTGATCACTAAATAGATCCGTTCTGCCGCGATCATTGAATGGCTCCATTCTAGCGCGGTCACTAAATAGATCCGTTCTGCCGCGATCATTGAATGGCTCCGTTCTACCGCGATCATTGAATGGCTCCGTTCTACCGCGATCATTGAATGGTTCTGTTCTGCCGTAGCGCATCTAAACATCGAGTAAAACCTAACCTGTTTCAGAAGAAGCTTGAACAGATTCTGCTACACACCTGCTCTTCATACATGTTCCCTTGCATGTACGGCTGATTCTGGAATGGTGCTGGGCCGCTTTGCCACTCTCTGCGTCCTACGAAAGGAGACACAAAAGGCGAAGGCCCTGTTGCTTGATAGGGAGGCGATAGCTTCTTAGACAGTAGGTCTTGAATGGGACCAGTTCTTGGTGGGTACTTGGAAGATCCTTTTCCGCCACCCTTGGGACCATTCTGTGCACCAGTTTTCCCGGGTGCAGAAGACCCTGATTTCCTTGGAAATGCTGAAAAAAAAGAACAGATACGGCATCAGAAAACACTTGCAAATAATTTTTTCAGTTCAGAACAAACGATTCAAAATGATGCGATATACAGAAATAAGGTTTCTTGACACCAGAGAATCACTCTAAGGTGCTGAATGGAAGTACCCTTCGATTTCCCTTGATGAACGAAAAAAAAGGGAAAAGAAATTACATCACTACCCAACGGAAGGAGGAAAAATGGATGTTCGAGCAGGTTAAGCTGGTTCTGGCTTTAACATAACGAAATGCTCATCCTGCTGATACACTCGGAAACCTCCGTAGTTTATCATGCAGGTCAAATCCTTTCCAAAGGATTACAAAGGTTGGGCTAAAAAGTAGAAGGATCATCCAAAATGGGACGTACCCTGATCTAGATCTAAGACAGCAGCCAACATACACATCACTGGGAACTGGAGACAGAAAACTTACTTTTTCCAGATTTCTGTTGAGCGTTCTTCTCATCCAACCTAGGTTGCTTAGCGGCTGAACCGCTTTCTGGCGTTGACGATGGAGCATTATGCTCAGCAGAACGCTTTCTGAAAATGCGACAACATACAGACCACTACCGTCGACCAGGAAGCAATACCGCTTCACTGGACCGACAACTTCAGGGTCGTATATTCTTCTGACAATGTTGTTCTTTTCGAACTGGATTGAAAGGAGGGTGAGTACCATAAATAAGAAAACACTTCTTGCACCTCATCAGCCCATCATCCGCGATGTTCCTCTATTTCAAGAGGTCCATCACGATAAAATATCGCATGATTGCGGTGAATCTCGCCAAATAACAGTATGGGTAAACTCTCAGACAGGTTGGTTGGTTTACCACACACAGGATAGGATGGTTTACCAGCTGGCACCTTGGCCTCTGATAGAGGTACCTTGTGTACATGAGCACTTATAGCTGAGTACACCAAGCTCTTTCAGGGGCACTTGCAGTTCGGAACACGCCACCGCACTATCACCGATATCGTTTTCCGAGCAACTGTATCGGATCATTTCGCGTTCACACCCATCTTCAACAGATTCTAAAACATCTGTAACATGAAGGCCAAATGGAAAATTCCATCACCTGCAAAAAACAGATATCGTCGACATTTTGAATCGAATAGTAATAGAAAACCATGCCATTAAAGGCACAGTTCACGATAAAAATGGTTTCTGGGACTTCCCGATAGATGAGTTTGAGTCCCCCTCTTATACCATGTGTGGCGCTGTCAGGTCGTAAAACGACCTAGATAGAGCATAGTAAAGGCTTAAAGAATGTACCGTGTGTATCCTCGGACGAGTTTGACCGGCACTGTAGTGGCTGCAACGATCACAAGGAAGCCTATGTAGGAAGTTCAAATAATTTGTCATGACCCCTAGTACAGTGGAATGTAGTTCTGTACAGCCCGTACCCCTTCCATGTTATTTCCGATATGGCAATGTCGTCCAACCTCAATTATCCCGACCTTTGGAGAGCCTTATTTTTTCTGAAATCGGTGAATTATCTCGCTTTATTCACTACCGATAAACTACTCGCAACTATACTTCCGCTTTCCCACTAAATAGGGGTACTTCATTATTATCATGAACAGTGCCTTTAATGAAGGATCGATAGAGCTTGCCGAAGTAGGCTTCCATTGCTTATATCCCTTCAAGGTTGCACTTTCAAGCACTTGGGAGGAACACTGATGAATAACACTCATCTGTGTTCCACTTTAAAGTTTGTATCGCGTCGAACTTGGCACATAAAAAAAGGAAATGTCTGATGGTGCTGACGATCATAATAGCTCGAGTTCAGTTTGCACATGCCATTGCCCCATTGTCCTTAGCGGACTCAACTCTGGTTTGCTGTGTCAAAACTCAAAAATAACTTCAAGCATTCTATTTCCAAACTCTGCCTAGGCCGACGGGGTATGGGTACTTACGTGCGTCCGATGATGCGCGCGGCGAAGTGCATGGGGATTCGAACGACCCTGGGACCTACCATTTGGGCCCAAATTTGAAGTAAAGTAGATTGGTAGGATCAGCTGACCCTACTAAACTACTCTACTTCGAGTTTGGGCTCCAATGATAGGCGCCAGAGTCGTTCGAATCACCACGCACTTCGCCGCGCGCATCCTCGGACGCACGTAAGTTCCGTCCCCCAGGCCGACGTGTGCCACGCATAGCGCGTCGACCGCAGTGCGTAATGATTGATTTTTTCCAACGCTTCAAGGCCTCAAAGCCTTGATGCAATGGTTGCCTTCTCATGGTATAACACTTGGTTATTCACTGCTTTTCGGTAAGTGAAAATCCAACCGAAATCATGTACTGCAAGAGAACGAACGGATAACGGAAATCGAAAATGCCTAAAATAAGTATTGCAACTCGATTGAGCTGTATGAAGAACGCCAGAGTTGTAATAACGGCGAAGGAATTGTTCGCGACAGCCGCGTGCGGCGAATCGACTACAGAAAATCGTTCCTACAGTCCGTCCCCCGGGAGCACCCAACTAAGAGTCGTATTCAACGATAAGTGCCATACTGTGATCAACCAATTTACGAAAAAGAGCGAAGCAAAGCTTTTTGGAGAGCCGTAAAAACGCCAAATAGCATGAGCCCCTGTTCGATCGAATTACACAATATGTCGGGCCGTGTATATCGATCGACGCCTGACTTAGCACCCCCTCCCCTTTGGCAGTTTGAGAGAAATGCATAGTTTGAAGGCATCATCTAAAGAAGTAATGGCCTTATTACAAGTAAAAGCACAGTTCACGATAAAAATTGTTTCTGTGATTCCCCTGTAGCATGAATATGAGGTCCTCTCCTATACCATACCTGCCTTTGTAAGGTCGAAAAAGGCACATGTAGAGGCTGCACTATCCAAGAAACTCCTAAGGGGGAAGTTCAAACAACTTGGCATAACCCGTGGCGACGGAGGAAGACAGCTTTGGACAACTTTAGCTTGATGTAGTCATCTCTTTGCGCAATAGGAGAAATCTAGAATAAACACCCCTTACATGCCAATTCCGTCACGGCGATTCAGTAAAACCTCCACATCCACTACTTTTAAAAGCCTAGGAGTAGGCAGATTTTCTCGCTTTCTTCGCCGCTGATGTACTCTTCTACATCAACTCTTTCGCTTTTCAATCTGAAAAGGATCTCTTAAAATTATCGCGAACTGTGCCTCTAACAGACCTCGTTTTGATACATGACGAGCAACGATTTACCGACCGCCACAAGGGGAACAAAAGAGAAACTACCCGCTGTAAGACTGGTGCATCAGGCTCCTGTCTCATATCATTGAAATCTGGTAAAATTGGGCACGACGGAAATGCACACTCCGCCATTAGTCAGTGATATTCCGAGGCTGCCCAACAGCGGTATTATTTCGTAACTTTAGGGGCATAGAAACGTTGCCCCATACAATGAGATCGATTGGTAAAGTCAAAATAACTTGAAGGCCGTCCCGTCTTCCTAACTTGATCTAAATTTGATTCGGTGAATAAACTCTGCTTGGTAAAGGGCAATGCCGTTGCAGATTTTTCTGAAAACAGATTGGCTCTGCTGGATGATTCGGCCTAGAAGCATTTGATCGACTTCATGTATTCGCTGGTCATGAAAGCATGACGCTCGACATATGAAGAAAAAATCACGTGAGCGCTGCACCATCATCGAAGCCGAATTCAAAGTCTTTTAACAAATATCATGAAGAAGACAAAAAAGAACGACACATTATCAGTAGTTCTGCTGAAATTCATGGAACCTGATGCTTCGCATAAAGTTTTTAGGATATATTAACGCCACCTCTTCCACAAGATGATGGTGATAATGGCTGCAGTTCCTGACTTCTTATCAGTGGTATTTAAGCCATCGATTAAGAATTGCCTAATAACTAGCATGCGAAAAAGTGACTGACATGTGGTAGTCTGTAAATATTCATGCAAGGCATATGAGCTTTTCCCGAGGAGTTACCAATAACACGGCATTGCTCATGTGGGTGATCACGGCACGGCTCATCTGGGTAATCATGGATTGCTTACCGAACAGACGACAAGCCATTCTCTTAACCGAACACTCGCAGCTGGGGTTTGGTTTCTGTGTTGCAATGAATGCACCACCTAATCCCTTCAGTGGCATATGTCCCATCGAAATTCGGAGAAGCTGCATACATGCAGTCATTAACAGCGACGTCACTATGGGACTCACACACTGACTGAAATAAACGACTTGACCAAGAATTTTGTAGGTACTACGGATTTAGAGCTAAAAGTGAGAATGCTTGTGCGTTTTTAAAAGAGTGACGCACAGGAATTCGATTCAGGAAGTGAAAAAAGGAAACGGACCAGAACAACAAAGAGAAATACGTCTCTCCGAGCTGTGTCGCCTCTTGTCGGACTCTAGAAGCAAGCTTCCGCTTCACCTTTCTTTCATCAAAAAACTTGGGAAACCCAACAGATGTCTCAGTTTCTAATGAAGAAGCCCCAAATATCAAAGCCCAAGATCTGAGATTGAAGAACACTTCAACTAGCTTCACGCTTCTTTTACAATGCCTGAAAAAGATCGTCTTATCCAGTCCAATGCATTTCTGACCATAAATTACGTTATGGAAGAGTTGAGCGAAACAAATAAGTGATAAGGTGAGGGAGATAGCTCACTCTGGCCAAAAACAAATTGCCTGTAATAGCGGCACCAGACTGCATTAGTCTTAATTCATAGGTTCGCTTGTATAACAGTTGTATAAACATAAACACACTTGCTAGGCGACTTCTCTTCATTGGTTCCGTCTGTCTTCACCTGCTCACCCGCATTCTTTTGAGGTTTCTTTTTGCCATCAGCAGGTAATATCTTAATCAATCATCGTAATCTTATCTGAGAAGCTACAATTCGAAGAAACCACCGAATCTGTTCAGAAAACATACCTTCGCGCCTGTAGCGACCTCTTTTTGTTCTGCGTGCCTCTTGCGATTCTTGAAAAGGCACATTTCTTGACAGAATCAAAATAATATTCGGTTTGCTGAGCCACTGACCTCCAATAAATCTTTCAACCTCTTCTCTTGCGCCGCACGTTCCTTTGGTTCATTAGAAAAATTGCTGCAAAAAGTTAAGCTCTGGGAAAATAACGAAGATTTTCTCAAACTATAATTAGAAAACAAAAAAATTTAGTGCGTTTGCGAGTTCTCCTTAGCAGATCGCTTCGTATTAAAAACCATTGCAATATGGTCGAGATCAGTCAGTCCAGCTTCAAAAAAAAAAGAAGCCAAGCGATTGAAATCCTACTTCCTACTTTGCATCATGTGCTCTCAGATATTCGTGAATTTGAGGTGAATGATGTGATATCGCTCCGAAATTATGCCAATTCCTTCTAGGGCTCGAACCCGTGTTGGCAATTTCAGTCTCAAAGCTCACGGCCTCACAGCAGGGCAGAAAAAAGCAAAAGGTGACGACGATTGGACGAGGGTGCTATTAGAATAAAATCGTTACATGAAGAAAAGGTTGCAAAACCAATGAACATACACCACTCAACCATTAACGTTATTACAATGTGAAGAAAGTGGAAAACATAACACTGATTACTGTGTACCAGTGAAGTAAGAATATCATTCGACGGCGTGGGCGTATTACCTGCGCAATATGCTGGTTCAAAGAGAAAAGGAAGAAATCGTTGCGATTAGTTCCCCGCAAGTACATTCAAAAAAGTTCTGCTTTCACGTTCACTAGGAAACTATGTCGTATCCTCTGAGTTCCTTCCAGGAATTAAACATTTGGTTCGATATGTGCTGCCGGCAGTCGACAGTTTGGATTAAATACAACCCATTAACACGCACTGCTCTTTAACTGTGAAAGAGGGAAACAGTGTTTAGCGTCCATGCACAACACCGTGCGATCATAGAAAAGTTTACCCAGTCATCTGAAACCATGGAGTTGCGCAGGAGTCACCAGCGCACTCCCCGAACATGCCTCTTCAGACTCCTGATTGCTTCATTTTTTGATTGAGGTGAAACTGCGAATAACCACTTTGTTCAGTTTTTTGCCAATGATTGCATAGAAAGATTGACCACCGCCGAGTAAATTTTCTGATACTAGACAGAGAAATTAGTACCCACTCCACGATCAAAAATTGATTTTCTTTCGCAGTTGGTGGGACGCTGACATCCATCATTGGAACGAGATCAGTCGTTATCCAACTTTCTGCTGGAACCTGAAAGTTTACCTCATGGAAATTGAAGAAGAAAATAGCGTTCCAAAAACTTCTCAATTTTCACACCAGTTTCAAAATTTCAGTATCTATAGACTCACTGCAGTAAATTTCTTCGTTATCTCGTTTGAGAAAAAGATGGCAAACTGGGTCAAATTGAGTCTGATAGTTCCATCCTCTTCAATCTTTGCCATGTAGTCAAACACTTCTCTTGGTAAACGAACCACTTTTCGCTAGAACAACTTCACAAGGGAGAACAAGCCATGTTGAGCCACAAGTAAACAACCTTGTACGTTCGCTCCTTTTTTCTACGCCCGGATTGAGACTGAATGTTCTCTTCAGACGCTTTCTCGGGCTGTTCTGCCGATTTGGCCGCGGATTCCAGAAACTCATCACCTTCTCCACATTCGTCAATTACCACGACATGGACGTGATCTTTCGATTCTTTCTCATCCTAAAGTAACGAAAACCGTAGGTCCCGTTCCATTTGGTCAACTCGAGCGGAACATCATATCCTTAAGGTCAACACAGAGGTATTTAGAATCTATAGGCTTCTTGTGAAAACTAATATTTTTGTGGTTTATCAAGGGCACTCAGCATGCGCAAAAGAGATTAACGATTAATGTCCCGCGGAACTGCAAACGATCAAAAAAGAAGAATCACAAGTCACGTCCGTGGTATTTTGCCACCTTTTGCTAAAGTTCGCTGTGGAACCTGTGCTGGCTGTGGCTCAATTTCAATCACCATGCGATAGGATTCCGAAGCGGTAGTTCGATTGAGGCATGCTTATAACCAAACGGAGAAACCGTACATTACAGCGATCAAGGGAGTGTGGGTCGCTTTCCTGCAACTTCGACAAAGCGCACGGTAGTTTCAGATGGCTCTGAGACGAATGTTCTTCAGGTCAAACTTTGCTAGTTACCCGCACACTATGTTTAGTAGAATGCCTTCCCAGAATTTTCTTTTCGCATAATTCATTTACTTAGCTCTCGCTTCCTGGAGACATGTCAACGTAACATTATGAGGAGAGGCAGCAGATACGTGCAGAACCGGAACTCACATTCATTGCCGAAAGCACGCCATTATAGATACATAGTTGCACCGCGACGTCAACGACCACAGTTTCATAAGCGGTGGAAGGGAGGCGACTTCTGACTATTTCCTTACATTTATGAAGGGTGCAAGATCATGTAAGAGACCTCATGCGCGCACGTGACTTGACGAAAAAAACTGCTGACAGCAAAAGCTTGGTCGTTTAAGAGCATGGTAACTTTCGACAGAGCTGCCTCAGTAACAATTATGCCTAGGTGCTAGAGCGGAACAGAACTAGGAATCGTTGGGGTACGACACTACCTTTGGGCGTTAAAATAAATCTACTTCGAACTTTGATCCATCAAACATCAATCAAGCTTCAGTCCCAGAGAGCAATAAGTTTAAAAATGAGGAAACTACTATGACATTAAATGACGGCAAAGTCCTCACTCTATTACCAACAAAAACAGTTTAACGTGCTACAGCGACGTGACAAACCTAACCAGGGAAGGATCCCAACTCGAAGTTGCCATTTGAAATAAGACCTATACTGCTAGACGTGTTTTTGGGCGCTGAATTCAAACCCGCTTTCCAAATCTGCCAAGCGATTCTCTGAACGGAGTTATGAGGGTGGTTTT